CATGAAGCTTATGCTTTTCCTCCAACCACTGTATCTGTCTGTCTTCCAGAGCCCTAGCAGAGAAATATATACAAAACATAGAAATTCATATAAACTCTTGAGATTAAACAGATATCAGAAGTGGAAGCAAACTCACTACCTGCATGAGCATATCCTTAACTATCCAACTGTAGGCACTTCTATGTGACAACCTATTTGCTATAACAATACTATTATCAAGTATTTCTTATGACTCAGGTGGTGTGCTTAGAACACAGTATGCATACTATAGTATTAATTTTGATAACCTTTTTACATCTTTTTAAAGAGATTTTTGCTATAGGGCACATGCATTCGCAATAGAGACAGAGACAGAAAGCAAGAAAACACCCCTCAGGGGGGATGGCCATGCTACAATCCCTTCTCCTTCTCTCCTCCATTCTCCTCTTGGGATTTTGGGCACGCACACACATGCACCCAGTATAAGTTTTAAACCTTCGAGTCCAGACTCAAACTGCGGTCAACTACAAGGGAGTCCAGCAACCTAATCATCAAGCCATCTGCTGATCCCCATAATAACTTTCTAATTTAGGCATTTCTGTTGTATTCTTTTTATAGGTGAGCCAATTGAAACCTAAAGAAGTTAACTAACTTGCTTAAAAATTCATATAGGGGCCAGCCAGTGGGGTGGTGATTAAGGTGGCTGGATTCTACACGGCCGACTACACAGTTAGTCCCAGGTCTGGTGGCTTGAAAAACATGCCATGTGCATACATACTCAAAATCCCAACAGGAAAAATGGAGGAGAGGAGAGACTGTGGTGTGACAGTCCCCCATGGGAGGTGCATTCTCACTTTCCCTCTCTCCAGCAGGCACACATTAAAAAAAAAAAAAAGAAAAAGAAAAAAAAAGAATTCACATATTGTTAATGGCAGGACAAACACCTGAAAATCAGGTCAGGACTATGATAAACCTCAAAATGTAAAAACTGGGCCTAAAAAAGCTGGTTAAAAAAAAAAAATCAATCCTGGGGCCAGACAATGGCACGGAGGTTAAGATGGTTTGATACCACATGGCCAACTACACAGTTTGAGTCCTAGACCTGGCAGCCCAAAAGACATGCCAAGCACACGTGCATACATGCTCCAAACCCCAAGAGAATGGAAGAGAAGGGATTGTGGAGAGTGCTTTCTTATTTTTTCTCTCTCTGTCTCACTGAGCACATGCACCTCATAGCAAAAAAAAATTAAAAATAAAAAAATCAACCCTGGGGCCAGCAAGTGGCATGATAGTTAGTTATGGTGGTTGAATTTTCCCATAGCTAACTGCATGATTCAAGTCCCAGACACAGTGCCCTGAAAAACATGCCAAGCACATGTATGTGCATGCCTAAAATCCATAATGGAAAAATAGAGGGGAAGCAATTGGAGTGTGTGGGTGCTTTCACACCCCTCCAACCCTGTTTCTCTCCAGCAAACACATATGTCCTCTGACAGAATTTAAAACATAAAATATTAAAAAATAACCAACTGCTTCCAAGTCTTAATCCAGTATGTTCTATGGATAAAAAAATTTTTTTTAATGTGGACAGAAAAGGTTTCTTCATTTTCCAAGAGCCATAAATAATATTTTAAGGTAGCATCATAGCAGCTTATGTTTATAAGCTACTCAGCATACTTTATATAATTTTTATTATCTTACTAGGCAATACAAATGAAAATGAGAATAACAAACCCTTGAGAAGTCAGATTACTTGCCTAAGGTCATAGAGATCTTAAATGTCTAAGTTCATAAAATATCATATCCTAGTGACCCCTGAGTCTACCTATATCCTCCAATACAATCCTTTGAATAACATTCAGAAACCGATGATGAATTACTTAAATTTGGTGGTCACACTGCCACTAGAATTCTTAAGCTCATTTAGATCAAACAACCTGAGGATTCCCAGACACAAGTCTCTATTATTATTATCATTATTCATCTTATTCTTTTTTTTTTTTGCAAAGTAAAAAATAAATAAATAAATAAGTTAGACTCCCTGGGATATTATTACACATTACTTTGCTTTCTTGAAATTCATCCCTATTTATGAAAATATAGAGAAGCCTTAAAATATAACAGAAAAACTACACAAAAAAGTTCCTTGTATGGCTAGGAAGTTTTCACAAGAACAAAACTGATAAGAATAATGCTTCGAAGATTAAAATAATAACATATACTACCAACATGTAATAAAGACAAAAGCAAATACAAAATAGTTTAGCACTCTATCATGTCTAAATACATTTTCCCACAGAACATAAGATCTTGAACATCACCAAAACTATTTCACAAAAATTTACTATACTGTCTACTAACAAATTTCAGAACCAAATAATTATAAATTAACAAAGAAGTTTTTCAAAGATAATATAAAAGAGACTATTTCTAAAGTAAGAAATGTTTTGGTTTCTTCAATGAATAAAAAAGTTTTACTTTTTGTGAGTTCTCAGAATACTGTCCTCAGGCAGAATTTTAAAAAGTCTTCTCCCTAAATGTCTTCAATTTTCCTTTATAATTTGAGAGCTATTAAAGTTCACTCTATAGAAAGTCCATTACCTGAGCTAATTATACATTATCAAAGGGGGTCTGTAACTAGTTTTTAAAACACATTTAACACTGGAGTTATCACTAAAATAACCACATTAGATAGGAGAAAGAAAAAAGTTTATACATAAAAAGAACAAACTTTACTTTTCAACTTCTAGTTGTGCTTTTTCAGCTTGGCTTCTAAAATTTCGG